GGCCCCCGTTTAGTTTCGGTTTCATAGGAGCGCAAGGCCGATTGCGTCGGGAGACACCTCCGAGATTATGGGGGCCAATATGGGGCCGATCTCCATCTTCTCAACCCCACCGTGGCACTGTGTGTCACGTCCAATCCTTCCTTAAACACCTTCCGCGACGGAGACTCCATCGCCTGCCTGCGCAGCCCGTCCCAGTGTCTGACGAGCCGCTGAAGAAATCCTTCATCATGTCCAACCCGAACCTCCCCTGGCGCGGCTTGCGGCCACGTCCTCTGGTTCTGTTGATAGAGGAGACCGACCTCCACCTTGCGCTAACCTTCTTTCGAGAGTCAGTGGAGAAACAGCATCAGCCTTCTGCTGAAGGTGCCGGCGCGGGCATGGGCTCCGGATGGAGCCCGGAGCAGCAAAGGGAGCAAACAGCCTCACAGAACTGAAATACTCGAGCTGTTCCCCCTGAAATAAGATATTATCGCCTTATTTTTCACCTTTCAAATTTACCTGCACTCTCTACCTCAGCCTAATTGAAGTTTTCCCCAACTCTGATTCAGGAAAACAAATCATCTGCTGTAGGTGTAAAGAACGTTCTAAAGGAGATGACTCACTAAGCATGAAAGTGCTGGAAAATTGGTAAATGACATCCCTGCAGCTGCCAGAGGTGAAATGAAAAAGTAAATGCTCAGTAAACACCGTCAGAATGAAGTGGGACTAAGAGTGTGTGGGTGTGACAACAATACACACAATGAGGAATGAATCTCACCTGTCCTAACTGCACAAGAAAATTTTCTGGTTTTCAAACTGGAGGGGGCAAAATAAATTCCTGCTAATAGTCCCATTTTTCTATGTACTGCCCCTCAAACATTCCCCTCAAGAGGTGCATGCAGCCCTATATAATACATCATATATTAATAAATGTGATGGGTCCTTCAAATACGTGAATTTGTGAATCATTTTTTGTTCAGCTATGCGTGAATTTCGTTGGCTTATGCTACCAAACACTACACCATACAAAGTAGAACACAAAACTGGTAGTTTTTACTTCAAGATTGGAGTTTTAAAATACTTCCCTTCTTGTGAAAACATCTTTTTAATGAGTTGACAGGACTCTGTGGTAGAGACTCAGTACCTGAAGTCCACGATGATGTCATTAAGACAGGCAAATGAGAGTAAGTTCATAAAAGCACAGAATTGTTAGGGATGGCAGGGACCTCTGGAGATCATCCCATTCAATTCCACTGTCAAGGCAGCATCACCTCAAGCCAGTGACACAAAAATGTGTGTGGAATATGTACTAACTAGCTGGGAAATGTGAAGGTTAGAAATAGTAAAATAAATTATGTAGCTATGTATTTTAATAATAAGAACCAAAAAGCAAAAATTCTTTACATACTGTGAAAGTAAAATAAATTAAGCTAAAAAAGGAGAAAAACAAAGTATAATTACCAACCCCTTAGTAATAGTGAAAAAAATTCCACTGGATTGCCCCACAGTGATTTGGTTTTGGTTTTGGGGTTTTTTCCCCATTACTACTGGGTCATCAATTTGGTTTTTAATTGCATGGAATAGATAACTTGATAATACCTGTGCAAAGAGATCGCAAGAGTAGTTAAGTGCTGTATCTTTGGACTTCCTGTTCAAGATGAGTTAGCATTCTCTAATGGAAGCACACCACTAGTAAAACAGCCACCAAAGGAATAAAAAAATATTTTTTTTGAAGCTAAATAAACTTGGTATGACTTAAAGGCTCTGCAGGATGATAAATTTGCATTTTTCTGTAACACTAGTAGGAATCCACTGCTTGAGCATTAAAGCAATATACCAAGAAACACCAGCTCCTTCTTACACAGACCTTTCCCTAAATGCTGTGCACAACAAAGAAATGCATTCAGTTCTTTCATTTAATATTTATACTTTAATGCAAAAATCAAAGAAATTACAAGCATGAATTGTGCCCTGACTCATGCACTGAAGTTTAAAAGCTCCCACCACCAAAGAAACAAATTATTATTTTAATTAATTTAATTAAATTTATTTTAAAATAAATCTCAATTTTAATCACTTTTCTACCCCAAGTAAAATAGGAAATGTATTTTATACCTATGCTATTATTAGATTTCTCTGTAAGACAAGAAGTACTGTTTTTGGTGCAACAAAATTAGACAAGCTCTTAGTAGTGTTAATAGCACTCTCAACAATGACACTTCCCTCTTAATGCAATGAGTCCACACATGAAAAATCTTAGATTCGGTTTCCTGCTGATGTCACTGAACATGAATTTAAGATTCTCATATGCCAAGTCAACAAAATCCAGTAATTGGGGTGGAAGCCTGGGAATTGTTTTCATTAAGATTGCAACGTTCCTTTAGCATGTGTGGTGTGGCATGGAACTTTTCTCATGCTGTTGTCCAGAAAATGACAGCTGAGCTTGTAGAGAAGCTACTGTAAAATATATGTAGGTTGCCAGTCAAATATTTACCTTTACATTTCTTCTACAATGCAAAAACCAGTTAGGTGTAATCAGGCAAAAAGTAATAAATTATTTTGCTGAAATATGCCCGTTGACTCATCAAAGACATGTCGAACTATTTTAAATGCATGGTTTTCATGGAGTTTCTAGAATGAATACAAAAAGGCCCAACAAGTAATAAATTTGTAGATAAATCAATTAAATCCTGCATTTAATATAATTTAAATTATATTAATACCAATATGAACAGGTGGTATCTCTCAGTAATGGCAGAATAAATCAGAACCTGATTTTCAAAGTAACTCATAGTGGAAACCATAGTGGAAACACAGTGTGACCAAAACTGACACAAGAATGTAGGCATGTGTGCATACAAGCAAGGAGTGATAGGGAATTGCAATTGTACCCTAGTACAAGCTACTTTTAGAAATAATTAGTTATGATTTTAAAG